CAAGTAGAAAGCAAATGTTTTGAGAATGATGGCAACAAATGTACAAATGTGCTTGACACAATGGATGGATGTATGGATTGTAATAAGAGTTGTACGAGCCCCCAATAAAATGATTTAAAAAAATCATCGACCCCTTTATTAAACAGAAATATCAAAGTGTGAAGCAGTTGTTGCTGGACACCTCCTCCATGCAGGGCTGTGCACTTTTGAAAGCAGTGGGTCCGTCTCTAACCCTTCCCCCACATCATTCTGTCAGAACGGCAGCTTGGGCATCATCGAGGGACTCGGCGTGTGTTCCTTTTAAATGTCCTTTGAGTTTGGGGAATAAAAAGAAGTCTGAAGGGGCAAGATCAGGATGGGGTAAGAATTCCTAATGACTTTCCCATAGGATAGCCATTGCCACTCTCAAAGAATGAGGAAAAGGATGTCATGGTGGTGCTCCCTTGTCAGCACTTCCAGTCTTCTCATCAATGGAGTGCTCAATTTCCTTAAAGCTTCTTTCTACTAAGCCCCATGATGGTGCTGTGTCCTTGGAGAAAGCTTATCAAGATTCCACTTGGGAATCCCCGCAGTCTCCATAGACCCTAAGTGACTTCTGCCTTGAACTGAATTTGCTGAGCGGGTCTCCTTGGGAGTTCTGTTTTGATTGGACCATTTTTCCTAAGGCACGTAATGAGACTGAGAGCGCTTGTCTGCGGCCACCCCGCACCACAGAGACCGTGTGTAAACAGTTTGTTTGGACAAACCCTTCTAGAACGCACCGGAACCCTGGCAGCAGTACTTTTTGACTTTAACCTCTGTCTTTCACTTCCTCAGTTATATTTATTCCTAAGTTTTTATACCTTTTCAGTACTATAGTAAATGAGATAGTTCTCTTAATTTCCCTATCAGCTTGTTTGATGTTTAAAAAATATCTTTTAGCCTCTAAATCTGTTGAATTCATTCATTGACTCATTTATTTTGGGGGGCATGGATCCTGTAGGATGCTCTAGATGTAAGATCATATAATCTGTAAAACCAAACAATATTTTGGAAAGCAAGAAATTAGGAGATGTGAGGTTTTCTAGCTAGATTAGCATAAGAGCAGTGTCCAGATGGCTCAGATTCCAAAGTCCTGTGATTAGCTGGGCTCATTGTGTTACATCGTGAGATATGTTACATGCACAGATATGTATTCAGATGCAGGCAGCATCTATGGATTAGTCACTGTAATCCTTGTAATAACAATGTGAGATATCCTTCTCCCCCCTTGGGACAGAGGATGTGGAGGCTTAGAGAGGTTAAGCTGCACATTTGAAGCCATGCACCTTGTAAGTGTTAGCTGGGATTGGAACCCAGGTAGCCTGGTCCGAGATTCTCTGTTGTCAAACACAATGCCATATTGACCCTGAGGGCCATTTGCCAATCTCTTTTGAACGAAATACTATGCATTTAGACCATGGCTGCAACAGTACCATTTCTGGTGTGTTCTCTACACCTAAATCTGCATACACCGTCAAGAAAGAAGAAACACTCCCTGGGGGACGGACAACAGAAGAGTGGGTGAGGGGAGACATCGGACAGGGCACGATATGACAAAATAATAATTTATAAATTATCAAGGGTTCATGAGGGAGTGGGGAAGAGGATGGGAGGGGAAAAATGAGGAGCTGATGCCAGGGCTTAGGTGGAGACAAATGTTTTGAGAATGATGAGGGCAAGGAATGTATAAATGTGCTTTACACACTTGGTGTATGTACGGATTGTGATAAGAGTAGTATGAGCCCCTAATAAAATGATAATAAAAATAAAACATAACCAAAAAAGAAGAAAGAAGGGTGCATTCAAGGTTATTCCTGACCGTTTCCTTTGCACACACAATCCAGTTTCTGGTTAGGGTGGGTTTGTTAGCTAGCACAACTACAAGAATTCTCCATGGCTATGGAAAAGGAGAAAGCTTTCAATGAATTGAAGATCCCCAGCATGTACTGTTAAGTGAAACCAGCAGGGGTCAGCATTGTGTGTCAGGAGGTTGGGAGGGGATCGGAAGGTAGAGTTTGCATGTGCATTAGGGACCCTGGAAGGAGACCCAAGGAGCTGACCCAAGTGGTTCTTCCAGCTAGGGAGCAAGGAGGGGCACACGATGCATGGCTGTGGGGGTGGGAGTTAGAGTTTTAAATGTATACCTTTGAACTTTTTGAGCCACGTGAATGCATTGTCTAATTTTTAGAAATCGTGGTTAGCATGATCCCTGGACTGGAGGCCACGAGTTCCATCTTAGCTTAGTAGCCGTGGAAACTGTACTTAATTTGTAAAAGCCAGGGGTGTCATCACCATGAGTCTACAGGAACTCGGTGACAGTGAGGAGTTTGGTAGTTTGAAACATGGAAGTTTTGAAACACAGAGTCAACAAACCGCCTCCCTCGCCCCTCTCCCCACCACCCGCCCATGTAAGGTGCTTGATGCATAGAACGTGAACACTGGATGTTAGCTGAGGCACGATGGTGGCCAATAGGAAATGGAAAGCTGTGGTGTGACTTCCCAAGCTGGATCTCAAGAAGCCTCTGTGCTTGGACTTTTGCCCCTTTGGACACAGTCCGACGATGTCAGGAAGCTCGGGCTAGCCTGCTGGAGGATAAGATCCATGGACAGAGGGGCCCAGAGTACACCATTACCAACAGCTAGATAGGAGAGTGCTGGTGTGAGCCCCTCTTGTAGTCTCGGTGAGACAGTTAAAGTTTATTGTGCCAACCTGGCCGATAAAACACATGTGGGCTTAATTGAAGGTGGAGTGACAAATGACTGGGTGAGCCTCGCCTTTCTAGTTCTCAGGTCTCTTGCTTCATGATGATGGTCGGACCAGGGTGCAACTGCCTTAGCCAGTTCCCTGCTTCAGCCGGCAAAGGCTCACTTCCTGCAAGACATCCCCAAGGAGAGGCCTCATGGACCTACCCCGATGTAGCCCTGGGTGTTGGAGCAGCCGTGTGGAGACCCCTGCCAGCGCTGAGATGCTTACATGTTCACTGATTTGGCTTTCCTCCTGCAGTCGGCATCATTGCATGTGTTTTGTGAGATAGAGGAGTACTTTGTGGATTGGTGTCGGACATATGGGTTAATGTTGGACTTGTGGGCTTGGGAAGCACTGGGTTGGGATGTTTTCTTGATGTGTACTTATGTTTTATATAAAACTCTTATATATGAGTTTCTGTGGATTTGTTTCTCTAATGTACTCAGATTAATACACTCAGTCTCGCTGGACCTGCCCGATGTTCACAGTCATGTAAAGGATCCCACAAGAGTGCAGTTCCCAGACTTAGCAAATAAAAATACAGGAGACTTGGTTACATTTAGATTAAAAAAACAAAACGAACCAAAAATTCTGAGTACAAATAGATCTCACACCATATTGGGGGCATTCTTATACTCAAAATTAGCCCTTGTTGATCTGAAATTCAAGTTCCACTGGACATCCTGTATTTGATTTGGCAACTCAATAGGAGAGACCGGAAGAAGCACCTCCCAGCTGAGGCAAACTCAAAACAAATTCACGAACCACAAAATCAGAACAAATAAAATGGTGATTTTTCCTAAGTCCGTAAGTGTCAGGCTGGTGTGTTACGCAATAAGAAATAAATCAAAGAACAATTAACTGCCATGGAGTCGATGATGACTCATCGTGACCTTCCAAGACTGCCGCTGTTTCTGAGGCTGCGTTTCTGAGGCTGCAACCCTTTACAATTGTGGGAAGTCCCATCTTTCTCCCACGTAGCATGAAATAAGTCATGCATTTATATCGGCAAGGTTAGGGTGGGCCTAATCTATACTCTCTCCTTGCTGGGACTACAGCCCAAGCTCCACCACCCAGACTGGTTTCTACCTATTGAATGTCTCGGAGAGCCCTTGATGGGCTGTCCATTGTCTGAGTGCCTGGCCCTGCATTGGTCCAGCTCTGCCCACCCACCAATGCCAACCAGCACCCTTCCAAATTCCCAAAGCACTTACTTGAGATGGGGGTGGGGCGGTGCTGACTTCTTGGGCTCTTCGCCCTGTTGGGAGCTGCTGCGGCCCTGCACGGGGGGCCGGGGCTGAGCGCTCAGGCCTGGTTTGGAGACCTGGTTTGGTGAGCAGCTACCAGCCCGGGACAGCTGTGGGGAGCCTGGTGACCTCTGCTGCTGTGGAGACCCAGACTGGGGACTCAGAGGCTGCTGGCCTTGCGGGGAGAGTCTCTGTTGGGAGGGGCTTCCAGATCTTGGGGGCTGAGAAGACTGAGCTTGGCGAGGCCCTCCTGCAGGAACCGAGAACAAAGCAGAACAGATCACACCTTATTCACACCTGAGAGCGTTTCACGGATGCTTCTCACAGCGGCTTTTCACAACAGTGAAGAGCTGAAGACAATATAAATGCCCAACACCAGGTGTTTCTGTTCAATAGGGTTTCACCTCGCTTTGGACTCTCGGTTGGAGGACCCCTTGACCTCAAATTCAAACACCTCTGGGGCCAGGTGGATACACAAATGCCTCCTGTTTATGCAAAGCATGCATCTGTTGCGTGGGTTTTTGCAAGCCACGCCATCCCCGACGCATTCATTTTTCATGCGTGCTATGCATGTCCTCTGCATGTGTGATTCATGTGAGTGCGCGATCTACAGGGAGGATGGTAAATAAAGCAGGGGGGTGTACAAATATCACATGGCTTTTAAAATTTCTTCCACTTGACATAAAAAAAACACGGGTTCATGTTTTTCTAAAAGAGCTGCAAGAAGAAAGAGAAGTCAAATCACTGTTGATGTGACCAGCAGGAGGAGTAGGGCCTTGGGCAAAGACAGGAGTCTGCGAGCTGTTACACCTTCATGGAGGGGCCCTAGGCGGGGAGCCCAAACCAAACTCACTGTCAAGAAGTCACCCCGACTCTAGCAACCCTAGAGGGCGGGGTAGAGCTGCTCTGTGCGTTTCTGAGACGGTCACTCTTTACAGGAGTAGAAACCTTGTCTTTCTCCCTTGGAGTGGTTTTCAACTTCTGACCTTGAGGCTAGCAGCCCAACACAGAATCAGATGTCAGCAGGACTTCTCCAGCCCCTGGTTTTTAAAGACGGGTCGACTTCTTAGTTTTTAAACCCAGCGTAAGTCAAAGGAAACATCCGCACTCCACCTGCGTGTCCAGCAGCACCTTTACTGGGGTTGAAGTCACCCATCGCAGTAACTCAGGGCCCCATCCCCAGATGGGGTGAATGTTGTAATCCACTGATTATGTGGAGCGTTTCTCGGATGATGTGAATTCTTCCAACAAACTTGTTCTGCAAAGTCTCTCTCACATGGAACTACAACATCATTCGTATGAAGGAATAACATCGCTAGTAACTAACTTTAAAAAACCAGATTTCTCCAGTAAGGCATTCTCCAAAAAGCCACGGGTGCAGGCTCACAGATAGTAGTGGCCACAGCACTGTAGCTAAGACACCAACAAACCTGACAGCAGCAGTGGCTCCGTGGACACACGGGTGGTCAAAACCACGGTGCCAGCTCACAGTCGGCGCAGATGAAACCAGGTGACTCAAAGCGCCATTGTACTTGGGCTGTGGTGGCAGCTCTGACCAGCGCTCACTAGTAGGGTAAGACCATAAATAGGCATGTCCCACTGGAAGAAGAGTTTTAGCCTCCTCAGTATATGGATACAGGCACCCTGGGCGTATGAAAGCTTTTTCTTATGATGGCTAACTACAGGGATCGTCTGCTGAAACACTGCTCAGACATTTTGTCCTCAGTGATTTTGTTGTCACTCCCTCTGACGATGTGACCTGGTGTGGCCTTTGCCCCCTGCACCCCCAGGGATGGCATTGACCTTACGGATTGCCTGCCGCAGCACACCAAACCAAACCAAATCCACCGATTCACAGCAACCCCACAGGCCCGGGTAGAACTGCCCCCAGGGAGTTGCCAGGACTGTGGCTCTCTAAAGCTCCATCGGTCCCCCTCGGGGCGGCTGGTGGTTTCGAACTGCTGAGCTTGCAGTCAGCAGCCCACCTTGTCCCCCGCACACAGTGTCTTTCAGAATCTGAGTCCTCATTTGTGGTTGGCATGAAGTGCTGCCAGGTCAGTTCCGATTCACAGTGGTCCTAGGCACAGCGGAATAAAACAGTGCCCGATCCCGTGCCAGCCTCACCATTGCTGTCGCATGTAAGTGCATTGCTGGGGCCACTGTGTGCATCCATCCACTTGGCAGGAGTAGCGGGGGGTGGGGGTAGCGGGGGTGGGTGCCCTGACTCCCTGCTCACCCAGCCCGGGGCTCTTTTCCAGGAACTTGCCTCTCCTGAGCGCAGGTCCCCAGTCTCGCCATCCTTGCTAAGGAGCATTCTGACTGCCTCTTCCAAGGCGGATCTGTCTGTTGTTCTGGCAGTCCGCAGAACGCTCAGTAGTCTTCACCAGCGCCATAGTTCGAAGGCATCTGTCCGTGCTTCCTTGGTCTTCCCTGTTCATCGCCCACTTCCACCTACGTAGGCTACTGGACGCACGATGCCTTAGGTCAAGCACACCTCAGTCTTCAGAGTGACGGCGTTGACCTTCAGCGCCTTAGAGCGCTCTCATGCACCAGATCTTCCCCACACACTGCGTCGCTGGATCCCGTGACTGTTCCTCCACGAGCACTGATCGTGGGCCCTGGACCACTTCCATCTTTCCTCCGATAATTGGTCATTTATTATTTGCGAGTCCTTAGTATTCATCCAAAGACACCTATTTATTTCGTCCAGCTACTTGCAAAACCAACAATGTCGTATTTTTAATTTCTTTGTGTGCACATACAAAAACCATTAACTTATGCACTAAAAATGATTTGCCTAAGCCCAGGATTAATACCCCTTCCCCCCCAAATGACGTGCATTGAAAGAGGGCTGGTGGAGAATGAGCAAGGCAATAATGTGACCTTGTTATTTGGGGGACTCAATGAAAGCATTATTTTTAAATCAGTCTCGTTATTTTTAATCTGGATATTAATTTAGTGGGTATTTTCTTCAATTACCTTAATTGGTTTTAGATGGGCTGTTTTTCAACACCACTGAAAGTGTGTTTTGCCTCATGTCCCTCAAAATAATATCCCTTTATTGAGCGTGCCTCCTCGCTGGGCCCTAGGAGGAACTCGGAATACAGGCCACCTCTGTTCCCAGAGTGCTCTGCTCAGGTGTGTTTCACCAAGTAAGTCGTGGGGCAGCGTAGGAACGATGGGCGCTGAGCAGGGGCACAGCCAGGAGCCCGGCGGACATGTATAACTATGGAAGTATTGCCAGGCAGGAGGGCAGTGGGGTTGTACTGGTTATAATGATTATTAGTGGTAACAACCATGAAGAACCACATGAATATCATAACTGTTAGTAAGTCACACGCCATGAATGGGAAGAGTTAATAATCATTGGTAGTAAAATACGCATAGTAAACGAGCTAACATCTACCCGTGTGGATTGAATTGGGTCCCTCCAAAATCCGGGTTGGAGGCTCAGTCATGAGACCAGTGGCGAGGATGGAGCAGGACGGGCAGCGTTTCGCTCCATGGTTTATGGTTAACGGGTCGAGAGGAGTCAGCACCAACGCACAGCACCTGTTGTTGCCAGGTGCCATTGGGTCAGTTCCGACCCATAGCACCCCGTGCCCAACGGAAGGAAACACGGCCTCGTCCCGCCCACCCTCACCACTGTTCCTGTGGCCGAGCCCGTGGTTGCAGCTACTGTGTCCGTCCATCTCCTGGAGGGCCTTCCTCTTCCTCGCCACCCCTGCACTTTACCAAGCACATGGCCTTCTCGTGACTGCTCTCTCCCGACAACATGTCCACAGTATGTAAGACGACGTCTCGCCATCCTTGCCTCGAAGGACTTCTCTGGCCATACTTTTTCCAAGGCAGACGGTTTGTCTTTTTTAGCAGTCCACGAGACTTTCAATATCTTCTCCAGCTCCACAAATCAAACGCATCCATTCTTCTTGGGTCTTCCTTATCCAACATCCAGCTGTCACCCGCATGGGAGGCCATTGAAAACGCCATGGCTTGGGTCAGGCGTCCCAGTCCTCAAAGTAACATCCTTGCTTTTCGACGCTCTAAAGAGATCTTGTGCAGCAGATTGACCCAATACAATGGGTCTTTTGATCTTCTTGACTGCTGCTTCCATAGCATTGATTGTGGATCCAAGCAAAACACTTAGCAACAACACAATCTGGGTGGTGATCCTAACCCCGTGCCTGTGGATGTAATCAGCTTCCCGCTGATAGGCGTGTGATATCAGCCGGTATTCATGCTCCATGACCCCTACATGGACCTCCCGCATGGGGTCTCTAGAGGGCAGGGCAGAACTGCTCCTGTGCGTCTCGGAGACTACACGCTTCAGGAGGGTAGAAAGCCTGTCTTTGTCCCAGGGGGTGGCTGGTGGTTTCCAACTGCTGACCTTGGGGATTGCAGCCCAATGTGTGACCACTGTGCCACCAGGGCACATGGGTGGTAACAGGTGCATTTCCTTTTTTCCATCTTCCCTTCCCCCTTTCTTGACGTTGAGCCTCGTGGGCTCCTCCATTCTGCAGATGGACGTAGTGCACACAGCATGGGAGGTGGGGGGAGTAGGAAGAAGGATTTCCCAGGGTGTACCTGAAAATCCCACATGGCTCCCAGGATGCCTCTGACCCGCCCTCTGAGGTGGAGGCTCTCATTGGCCAGCCAGGGGTCCTACCTTGGGTGGGTGGGCGCGGCTGGGGCTGTCCAAGCGGAGGCCCCAGCTGAGCTTGTCCTGGGGATTTTGCTGGTTTCATCTGAGGAGCCTGGAGCAGGAGAGAAGAAGCCAGCGGAGGTCACCACAGCCACGGACTCTGTGTGTGTGTGTGTGTGTCTTCAGGGGTGGGGGCAGGTGATAAACAAGATCTTGTTGCTACTGAGGCAAAATTCACAGAGTAGACACACCTGAGGCGGTCAGAGTGATGACTTTTATCTATGTGGACATACAGGTAACCACAGCTCAGATGAAGCTCAGTCTGTGCGGGTCCACTCCCGGCTAGCACCCGTCAGCCTGTATTCACTTTAGGGGGGCAAGGACAGGTAGATTTTGACACTAGCCTTTGCAGGAAGCTCAGAGGCCGGCAAGTGTGTTTGGAGAACCTGTGATTTTCCATGATGGAGCTGTGGAGGGAGGGGCTGGGGGAGCTTGGTGGGTGGGGAGACGTACAACACATTGTTTCCTTTGATTGGTGCCCCGGGGACATGCAGAGGGCAGGTGTGTACACACGTGTGTTCACACACATTCTCATACATGCTTGTATACTCACGTGCATATGAACTCATATACACACGTGCATATGAACTCATATACACACACACCTGTCTCCTCACACACACACAGGTGCATGCTCGAACACACTGATACCCACCCTTTCTCTCACACACTCCTATACTCAACACCTCCACACACAGATGCACGCTCAAATACATGGATGCTCACATACTCTTCTTCTCACACTCAGATACTCACACACACACACACACACACACACACTCAGATACTCACACATACACACACACACTCAGATACTCACACAGATACACACACACTCAGATACTCACACACATACACACACACTCAGATATTCACACACATGCAACACCCTCAGATACACACATAGACACACTCAGATACTCATACACTCAGATACTCACAAAGACTCAAATACTCACCCACATGCACACCCTCAGATACTCACACACACATTCAGATACACACACACACACACACACACACACACACACACACACACACACACTGTCTTCCCCCAGTGGACAAGGTTCTCTTCCCTGGGGGCTAGAGGGAGGAGGGGCCCTTGCAGAGAGGCCCCGGTTGGTCCTGAGTGGGGGCATCACCCTTGGATCCTGGGCTCCACATTTCTAGACAGCCCAGCATTTCTCACAGCTGCAAACTCTCCCCTGCTCCCAGGAACTTACCCAAGGTCTCAGGGGCGAGGGCATGGTGCCCCCCGGCACCAGGAGTTGGCTCATTCTGGAGACCACCAGGTCGGCCATCAGCTGTTTGTCCTCTTCCACATGCTCCCCAATCAGGGGCATCGAGCTGTCCATCACCTGCGGGAGGAGAAAGAGGGGCTGAGGAACCCCGCAGGTCCCCTGGCTGCAGGCAGCCTCTGGTCCTGGCTCAGGACGCAGAGCAGAGGTGACCACCAGATGGCGCTTCCTTCACACAAACCTACAGCCCAGCACCTCCAGCTCTGGGATCCAGTTCAATTCTGCCCAAGTTCGCGGGCCAGAGCCCTGCACCCATGGCTGGGACCCTCTGGTTGCCGTGTCTGCGCTTCTCTTGGGGGAGCTGGTGTCCACCCCCTCCTTTCTCACCCTGGCCCCTGCCCAGGGTCAGGGCTGCCTTCTCCTCCCTTGGCCTGAGGTCAGGCTGTCCACAAGGCGGGATCTATGGAGAAGGGGGCTCCCAGACACATGACCAAGGGTATGGCCCAGGGTGGGCCCTAGGCTGCAGAGCAGAGGGCTCCCTGGGGCCCTGGCAGAACACACGAGCCAGTGAGACTCATGCCACCGCATCATGGGGTCTGGCTTGTGCTTTTTACAGATGGGGAAACTGAGGTCCAGAGCGGGGAAGGGACAAATCACAGAAGCCAGCAATTCAGGTGACTCCAGGCACCGACGGCGGCTGGGTCTTGAAGGGCAGCCAGGTGTTGACAGGCCCGCAGAGTTCTCTGTACCTGCCCCACTGCCACCAACTGGTCCCCAAGCCCACTGCCCATGGGCTGGTTCTCTCCCCCCTCCAGGGCTTTATGTTGCCCTTGCTTCCGCACGCCCCCTCTCTTTCAAAAAGAGTCGCCCCTCCCACCCATGTCTGAGAGGTGCGGTTCTGAGAACTCTTCCAGGCCCAGGTGAGAATGGGCTTGCTGAGCGCTCTGTGGGGACAGCCCCCCATGGTGGCCAAGTGAGAGCCCCTTCCAGATAATCAAATTCCCTGGTGCCCGCAAGTCCCTTAAACAGCGCAGAAGCTGTGGAAACAGTGCTTCACGGCTCCTCTTGGCCTGGGAGGGGCACCTCTGATCACCTCGTTGTTTGTGTCTCGGGGGAATTTGGACGTATGTTTGGTTGAAGCCATGGGTGTTGATCTCATGAACATGGAAGGCTGAAAGCAATTCTTTTCTCTCACAAAAAGTTCATGGAAAATGGGATGGAAAGATAACGGACTGTCCCATAAGTGTGGGCGAAGGGAGACCGTGCAAGAGACATAATAAAAATCTATCATTTATCAAGGGTTCATGAGGGAAGGAAGGGAAAAAAAGAGGAGCTGATACCAGGGGCTCAAGCAGAAAGCAAATGTTTTGAGAAGAATGATGGCAACAGATGTACAAATGTGCTTGACACCATGGACGGATGGATGGTGAGAAGAGCTGTAAGAGTCCCAATAAGGCGATTTAGTAACATGAAAAACAAAACAAGACAAAACCTTAGTGGGAAGGATGGAGAGGCTGTGGCTCACATTCTTTGGACACGGTGTCAGGAGGGACCGGTCCCTGGAGACGGGGGCCTGCTCGGGAACGTGGAGGGGACAGAGAGGAAGGTCCTTGACAGATGGATGGACACCGTGGCTGCGGCCGTGGGCTCACGCATAACAACAGTTGTGGTGAGGGCGCTGGCCCACGTGGCGTTTTGTTTCATTGCGCCCACGGGGGTCGCTGTGGGTGGGAGCCACTCGGCGGCATGGAACAACAGCAGCATCAACGTTTTGAGGTCTGTCTCTACAGGTGTCTACGTCAAACAGCTCTGTTAGCAAGTCCTAGAAACCTGTATCCAACAACAACGTCGGAAGGTCAAGCCAGTGTCTCGACATATCCCCTCTGCGTGGAGATGCACTCCTGACGGTGGGGTCTCTGTCTCCAGCCCGTCCACGAAAACCTCGGCCCTCCGAGGGTCATGGTCAAAGGGGCGGTGGGGCATCCCTGAGGGGCTCCGACTGTGTGCCTTCCCAGTGCTCTGTGAGTTCGGGAACCACAAAGAAAAGGGGTCCGCTCGGGGATGGCGGGTGGACGGGGGCAGGTGTCCTGGTGGCCCTTGCTCCCCTCGAAGCACGAGCGGGCACGGGGCTGTGATGGACAAAAGCCTTCTCGGCACAGCTGTCCTGGTCGTTGACTCACTCTTGCCGCTGTCCGTTTTCTTTGGAAACGTCCCTGTGACCATCGTGAACATCTGTCAAGATTTGATAGCCCCTATAACAACCACCCCCCCTTTCTGAGCTGACCTCTCTGCCGTGAACCCAACTGGCCCAGGAGAGCCCCTTGGAAGCCACTGTTTTGATAAGGCCTTTAAAAAACAAGCATTTTTTGAAGGCACCTTCAGGAGTCCAAGACAAGCGTATGGGTGAGAGAACTTGTCTACAGCCATCCCCTGACGGCAGGGGTGTGTTTCAACGTGTTTTGTTTGCACGAAACCCATGCATGCGTGTATGAACTTGAAGCCCAGAAGCAATACGTCTGGATTTATCCGTGTGTGTGAAACAAAACACTGGCCAATTCAACACTTTTGACACCTATGATTTAGGGACATTGGCTACATTCATCATGTTCTAAAATTATTACCATTATTCTCCCCCTCCCCCAAATCTTTCCCATCCCCTTTAACAGAAACCCAGGGTCCCCTAGGCAGGACTACTTATTTGGGCCTCCCACTGGACCAATGGGTCACGTCCTGATAAGCGGAGAGAAGCCCGAGGTTGTCAAGGTTTTGTCGTGCTGGGATCCACAATCCCTGCGCATGGAAGCAGCAGTCAAGGGAGCAGAAGACGTATTGCACTGGGTGAAGCTTCTGCACAGACCCTTTAGAGTGTTGACAAGCATGGATGCAGGGGTGTGCTTTCCATGGCCTCCTATGCCTGGGAAAGTCGGACGTCGACTAAGGAGGACCATGAAGAATCGCTGTGTTTGAATTGTGGTGCCAGTCAAGCATGGACTGCCAAAGGGACAAAGAAATCTGTCTTGGAAGATGTATGGTCAGCATGCTCCTTAGAGGCCAGGATGGCTAGACTTCATCTTACCTACTTGGGACATGTTGTCAGGAGAGACCAGTCCCTGGAGAAGGGCATCAGGCTTGGTACCACAGAAGGGCAGTGAAGAAGAAGAGGAAGACCCTCGCCAAGATGGATGGGCACAGTGGGCTCTCACACAAGGCCATTTCTACCCTTTGACCCTCTCTTTCCGCTTTACCTGGTGAGCTCCTCTCCTCCCTCTGGGAGCACTTTCCCCCAACCTTTGTCCACCAGAGAGCTTGCCCACAGGTTGTGGTGAGCACTAGGCCAGGGAACCCCAGGTCCAAGCTTAGGTTCTGCTATGGACTTGTGGGGTGACCTTGGCCAAGTCACTTTTCTTTTCTAATTATTTGCTTAATTTCCTTTCTAAAAAGGGTTTGATTGGCATCTAATTCACATATCACACAATTCAGTCGTCCAATCATATTAAGAAGAGTTGAGCAATCAACTGAAGAACAGTTTGTTCCCCTCGGACTTATTGTTGTCAGTTCCACCCCCACCACCCGCCCATCCCTCCACCGTGCCTCTGGGTAATTATTAATCTCGTGACTATCTCTACAGTCCATCCACCCATATAAAGTCAGACAAAACACAGACAAGACACAGGACCAAAAAAGACAACAAAGCCAAAGCCAAACAGAAGCACCTCAACAGTAAAGAAAGCAGAACACACCCCCATTGAAACAACTTTAGAATGAACCAAAAGGTAGATTAAACGATAAAGTGCAGCATTTTGTTGTCAGGAGAGAACACTCCCCGGAGAAGGACATCATGCTCGGTGAGGTGGAGGGACAACGGAAGAGAGAAAGGCCCTCCAGGAGAGGGGTGGAGACGTGGCTGCAGCAGTGGACTCAGGCACAGGAGCTGTTGTGGGGATGGTGCAGGGTCAGGCGGTGTTTTCTTCTCTTGTGCCCAGGATTGCTGTGAGTCAGAACCCGCTCCAAGGCACCTCACAACAACAACATCTGCCACAGTCGCCCTCACAGCGCTCTCTGTCTGATAGCCAGGCTATTCATATCACTGGATTCAGTAGAGGTTCAGTCCTGCAGGGACCCTGCAAACGGATTCTGGGCTTCCATCATCATCCATAGCACTCTGCAAACCAGGTGTGCAGAATTTAAGCTTTGATGCCATTCCCTCCTTTGAACTTGGATTTTATTATTTGCAATCCTTGGATCACACAGATGGGTGTGCTTTTCCGTGTGGACTTAGTTGATGTCTCACTTAGATGTCTGTTTGTTTTAAGACAATCGTTTAAGACCCCAGATGCTTTGCTTCCTGATAGATGGGCACTATCTGGTTTCTTCATCACACTTTGCTACAGCACCCATATCTTCAGTGATCTCTTCATAAGGGTGAGTATCAAGTAGGGCCATCAAGATCCATTCATATATCTATGGCCTATATATGTGTCTGGTTCGCTTTAGAAACATTATTCTCATTTTATGATAGAGAAAATGATCAGTCATCCCCATGGGAGGTAAGGTAATCCTATTGATAATATCACTGCTTTAGTCAATGGTATAGACTTTAAAACACTGTTGAGAAAAGGAAGTTAACCATGTATAAGCCAGCTTTTCAGCCAGCAATACACGAATTGTTGACTTGTACAGATTAAGAGCCTAAGTGACTGGACACTATTTACATGAACAACAAAGGCCGTGGATGGGGCCACACTTTCAGTAACCCTCGTTCACAGAGGCAGAACCACGCCTTTGGCCAAGTCACGTTCCTCTATGGCTTCATGGCTTCTTTTCCCTCAATAGTGTCCTGAGGGCGCTTCCAGCTGGAACTTTCAGTGGGATGTGCATCTAAAGGGAGAACGAGGCGACTTTCTACCCCCGTGAAGGACTACAGTCTCAGAAGCTCCCGGGAGCAGTTCTCCCCTGCCCCATGGGCTCCCCACGAGTCTGAGTCCACTCGATGGCAGTGAGTTTGGGTGGGTGCTTTGGGTGCATCTAAAGCACACACTGGAAGCAGCTAGTCAACTCCAGGATGTGCATGGTGTTTCTAGAAGGATCTTGAACACTCTTCAAACTGGGGTCCTCACGGGTGGGGTTCCAGGTCTGAGCTGTCCCAAGATTCCTGAGCCCAGTCCCCGGGCCTGCCATGTGAATGGTGGCTGGATTGAGTTCTCATTAGGGAATCTTTCCCCAGGAGGAGCGGACTTCTACACCTTACCCTCCACCCTCCCCACTCCCTGCTTCTACTCACCCCTTCTGGTCTCTGCTCCCTACATTTCTCACCGGGGGGGTGAGTGGGAGGGGGGCACCACCACCATTAGGCACCAGAGGTCAGAGGAGTTTGGAATCCAAGAGTGGACACAACGCCATTCTCCTCAGGGCAATGCTTGGTCCCCCAGACAGGTCAGATGGGACAAGTTCCCAGATCTTTCTCCTAAGCAGTTCACCAAGAGGCTCTTCACAAAATTTCTCTCCGCAGAGGTGGCTGGAGACGTCCGTCTGTTTGGATTTCCTCTGTTCTTTTTGGGTGGGCTTGTTTGTTTCCAGACGAGGGCAGAATACCTTTTACATTCCCGGTAACAAACTGCCCCAGCCCACTCCACTCTAGCCAAACCCCAAAGCAAGGAAGACAACTCTTTCTTAGGGAAACAGATCTCAAAGGCCACCTTTTCCTCCTTACATTCTACCCCCTCCCCTTCCCTCCCCCCCTCCCCCTTCTCTCCTTGCCTTCTTGTCTTTCTTTTCCTCCCTTAGTTCTCTCTCTCTTTTCTGGAACATTTCTGAGATGCGCTCTGGTCTCACTGGTCTCACTTAGAATGAGACGTCTTTCATTCCCACCCCTTGCATGTCTGCAGGCGGGGAGCCCAGGCCCTCGGGGACAAGATCCCATGGGAGAGAGTTGAGGAGACCCAGGGAGGCTATGTCTTTGAGTGCAGCGAGCACCGCACAGAGCGTCAGGGCCACCTGATGCAGGGACACCGACGGGATCCCCTGCAGAGTAACCGCCACCCAGCCCTGGATTCAATTCTCCACTCGTGGGACGCACCCCAGACCTTAGGACGAGCTGTGTGGCCCAAAGCCATCACTTCATCCTCTGTTGGGGCACGTACTGTGCCTGGCACACTGTTAGTAACCAGTTGAGTAACCAGCAGGCTGTGTGGCTCTTTGGCGCTGCCTCTTGATCAGGTGTTTTGGCTGCATGGTCTCATTCAAGCCTGTGAGGCATGTGAGCTTGGAGACCCACTGTAAAGATAAGCCAACTGAGGCCAGAAAGAGGTGGAGCCAGGTTTGGGCCCTGGAGACCGTGCTCTGAAAACACGGTTGAGGAATCCCTGAGTGCTTTACATACAAGCAACATAAAAAAACAAACAGAGACAAGAACTTCCATCCAGTCAATTCCCACTCACAGCGACCCCCGGAGGACAGGGCGGAACCACCCCTGGGGGTTCCTGAGACTTAACTCTTTGGGGAGCAGAAGGCCTCATCCCGCAGAGCAGATGGTGGCTTCAAACCGCCGACCTTGCAGTTAGCAGGGGAACATAGTCCCCCAGAGATTTGAGTCCCCCCAGAGGCCCGTGGGTGACCAAGCAGGCCATTAAGCACCCTCTGGATCTCAGTTCCCATGGGAGGAGGACGGGCTTTCTACTCCCATAAACAGTGACTGTTTGGGAAACCCACGGGGCAGTTCTACCCTGTCCTACAGGGTCGCTGTGAGTCGGTGTCAACTCGATGGCAGGGAGTTTCTTGGTTTGGAGCCTAGTTCCATCGGACACACACAAGCTGGAATGCACTGGGTGACAAGTGGCACATGGTCTCCTGAACAGAGCCTCTGTGACCGCGACCTTGCTGCTGGGCCCGATCTGCTATGTGCTCCCCGTGCTGCCCAGAGTTAACCTCCTCCGAGTTTCATAATTAGATTTCAGAGCCCCTGCTTGGCCCCTAGGGCCTTCTGAAGCATCTTAGGCCAATGTGATGTTTGAAACGGTTTTCCTGGGAATAAAAGAAAAGAAAAAAAAAAAGTAGATTCCTTTAGTGAATGTGTGTCTCTCTGGAATGTTAGGACACCCACAGTTGGCTCTTCTGAGAAACTTGCCTGTCTCCCCTCTCCCACCAGGCAAGCCCCAAGGACCAGCTGTGTGCCAGCTTCACGCCCTGGCCTGGGTTGCATCCTCGGCTGCTCAGGAGCCACTGGGGCAGACATGACGGGAATGTCTGGGACAAGGGGACGCCCTTGCAGGCAGGGGCAGAGGGCCCAGTGGGTGGCATCCACTCCCCTGAGCTGCTGATTGCCTGTCATCTTGGAGTAGTGGGAGCCCTGCTTTCTGTTCCCTGCTGGGTCCTCTTCACCCACCTC